CGCGGCGCGGGTGCCCGCTCTCGACGAGGCTGCCGGCGGCGCGGTCGACACCGTCGATCTGGGAGGCCGGCATGCTCATCTCCTGCTCCAGGATGTCAAACCTGCGGGGACACCGGCAGCGTTGGGCAGGGGCAGCACCGGGACGAGCCAACCCTGCAGGCACCGTGCTTAGCTCCCCACCCTGGCTGAGCTGGGCACAGGCCCGGAGCATGGGGCATTTCCCGCTGGCGCCGGGCGGCATCCTGGGCCAAGCGCCCAGAGCCAGGAGCTAACCCTGACGATGCCACGTGGTGTTTGCAAGCAGCGCCGGGGTGGGCGAGGGACGGGGCTGCGGCCGTCGCACATAAGAGCAGCCAGACTGGGTCAGACCAAAGGTCCATCTAGCCCAGTAGCCTGTCTGCCGACAGTGGCCAATGCCAGAGGCCCCTGAGGGAGGGAACACAGCAGGTAATCCCCACATGATCCCTCCCCTGTGATCCATTTCCAAACAAACAGAGGGTAGGGACTCCATTCCTCCCCATCCTGGCTAATAGCTATTGATGGACCTAACCTCCAGGAATGTACCTAGCTCTTTTTTGAACCCTGTTAAAGCCCTGGTCTTCACAACATCCCCTAGCAAGGAGTTCCACAGGTTGACTGTGCACGGTGTGAAGAAAAACCTCCTTTTGTTTGTTTTAAACCTGCCACCTATTCATTTCATTTGGTGACTAGTTCCTATATTATGGGAACAAGTACATAACTTTTCCTTATGCACTTTTTCCACACCAGCCATGATTTTACAGACCTCTATTATATCTCTCCTCCCCCGGATCTCCTCCTTTCTAAGCTGAAACGTCCCAGTCTTTTTAATCTCTCTTCATATGGGAACCGTTCCAACCCCCTAAACATTTTGTTGCCCTTCTTTGAGCCTTTTCCAATGCCAATATATCTTTTTGAGATGAGGCAACCACATCCATATGCAGCATTCAAGACGTGGGCGTACCATGGATTTATACAGAGGCAATAAGATAGTCTCTGTCTTACTCTCTATCCCCTTTTTCATGATTCCTAACATTGTGTTTGCTTTTTTGACTGCTGCTGCACACGGAGCGGATGTTTTCAGAGAAACCTCACATAAAGCAAGGCTCCCTGCCCACTGTTGAGCATGGAGAGAGGGAAGCCAAGGAGCCACACACACCTCATCCACACCCACGGCTGTCAGCATTCGGGGGGCGCCACAGGGAGGTGGCAAAGCCGGAGATGCTGGAATAGGAGGCTTCCCTGGCCCCAGGTCCTACAAGTACCTAGCTAGCTCAGGGCTGGGGGGAAGAGGGTACCTGGCTGTCCCCCATGGTGGTACCTGTGCTGCACTACGTCCAGGTCCTCCAGCGTGTCCGGAATCTCCATCTGCTCCAGCCACTTCTCCTTCTCGCTCATCCACAGCTCGCAGGCGTCCGTCTCGCTGAAGATGGTGTAGAGATCCAGAGCGTCCTGCAGCTTCTGCCGGCGCAGCTCCGCCAGGGACACCACCTCGGCGTAGAGGGCCCGGATGGCCTGCAGCCGGTTCTGGAACTCCGGGGCGCCCCGCAGCTCGGCCGGGAAGCTCTGGGCCTGCTGGCTCAGGCCGTCCATCACGCCCTTGTTGTCCGCCACCTCCTCCAGCAGCTCTCGGTGCTTTCGGACCAGCGCCTGCGTGGAGGAGTGGTCGTGGCCCACCTCGTCGCTGGCCACCAGGCGCTGGGCCTCCTCCAGCCAAGCCTTCAGGTCGTCTGCGTCCACCTGGAACTGGAAGAAGCTCTCGGCCACCCGCAGGTTCTTCTCGCGGAAGGCGGCCAGCTCCTGGAGCTGCGCCCACAGCGCCGCCACCTTCTCCGTCCTGCTGCGGATCCGGGAGGCGCCGAAGTGCCCCCGAGCCACCATGTCCTCCCCGTCCCGGATGGTTTGAGGCAGGGGGGTGCCCAGGCCCTGCAGCTCGTCCTCAAAGGCCTTGTGCTTCCGCTGCAGGGTGAGCACGCTGGTCAGGTCCTTCCCATAGTCCAGGGAGGAATAGATCTGTTCCTTCTCCTTGATCCAGCTCTCCGCCTCGTCCAGCTCCCAGAAGAACTTCCACAGGCGCTTGGACTGCTCCAGCCGAGCCTTCCTGGCAGCCGCCATCTCCAGCAGCTCCTGGTGGCACAGCTCCAGGTGGCTGACGCGGTCCCGGATAACCTGAGGGTCGCACGGCCGATAGCCTGTGGGGGGCGGGGGAAGGGAGAGAACACAGGCAGCTTTAGAGCAGGGAACGCCGTCCAGGGAATCCCACCTCCCAGCTACAGCAGACACACCCTAAGCCACTGTCACGTTACTGGATCTTGAGGGGAACAGCCAGATCACTGATGCACCCATAGGTGGGGGTGTTGGCCCCAAAAATGGTATAGAAGGGGGCCATGTGAGGTATTGAATAGAAGCTTACTGCCTGATAATCCTATGTACGCTGTTCATGTGTTTGTAGAATGTCGGTGTGTGCAATTATTAGCATGTAATTGTATGGACACTGAAGATTTCCCTGCATGTGGTTGAGCATTGGGCAGGGCCGGGCCTGTGGACATGCTAATTAGCGAGGCCCTGTGGGACAATGGCACTCGATGGGCCAAGGACACACCTAAAGAATGGGGGCTGTCACCTGAGAGCAGCCAGCAGGGAACACAGAGATTGGCCTCTGACCAGGTGACCAACTACAGCCAAGAAGGGACCAGGAAGGAGGTATAAAGAGGCCATGTGGTCAATGCCATTTTGTTCTCAGCTCAGCACTTCATCCCAGAGGCAGCACTGCAGGGATCGAAGAGCCCGGAAGACCTGTGAACCCATCCTGATGCTAGGATGTGCAACAAGAACTTTTAAACCAGCAGCTGCAACATCTCTGCTAGAGCCTGCATCGAGGACTGGGAGATTCGGTGCATGTAACGTACTATTCTTTAACAACCTGACTCTCATGCTTTTCTTTCTTGTGATAATAAACCTTTAGATATAGATTCTAAAGGATTGGCCCAGTGTGATTTGTGGGTAAGGCCCAGAGGGTAAATTGACCAGGGATCTGTGGCTGGTTTCTTGGAACCGGACAGAACTTGTTTGGGGTAGGTGGGATTGGGTGCTAGAACCCCCCGACCTGTGCCTGAGGCCTGGGGCCATCTGGGGCATGGATATTGCTGGGGTGTCGGAGGGGTTTTGCTCGTGAGGCTTCAGGCAGGCAGCTGAAGCGCTCTGTGGGACTGGTTTGTGGCCTGTTTGGAGAGGTCACCAGTCAGGGGGGCTGTAAGGAGCCCCGGATTTGAGCAATTCGCCCTGAGCGGACGCCCTCAGCTGTGCCCGGACACGGCCCGGTCCGTCACAGCCACGAAGCCAGCCGTCTCCCTAGCTCTCCCACTTGGTGTGCTCGTTTTCAGCGCTCTGGCCTGGAGCAGTAAGAACACAGACGGCTTTCCGCCCCGCCATGGGCCCTGCAACTCCTCTCTGGGGAGATGTAGGTAAAAGGCGAGCCACCAGGGAAGGCTCGGGGCAGGGCTGAGGAGAGGTCAGAGTAGGGATGTGAATGCTCCCTTAAGGGGTGAGGTTACCAGTTCTGGCTGACTGGTATGGGCAGGAGCAGCCCCTGTCCATGGTAGGGCTCAGGGGAACTTCTGCAGCTAGGCTGGAGTGGCACCCCTGCCTGCCTCCCTTCATTGGTTAACTGGTTAAACGCAATGTCTAACCGGTTACCCAATTCAATGGGATTTTACATTCCTAGGTCAGAGCGGTACCATGTGGCTCCTTTGATGGATGCTCACCCAGCCTCATCCCCTGCAGCTGGCACTGCCAGGACGAGCCGTGCCGCTCGCCCCTTCCACCTACCATCGCCGTTGGCAAAGGCGAGGGCCGCCGTGCTCACGTCCTGCACCTTCTCCGCCTGGAGGGCCATGTCGGCTTCCACCAGCTTGTGCTTCTGCAGCAAGTCCTCCACCTCCAGCAGGTGCTTGCCGAACTCGGGCGAGGAGAGCCGCGCCTACACGGAGCAGGGCGAGAGGGAGCCGCGTTGGGGCGGGGCGACTCATTCACCCTGGGGACAAGCTACGTTTCCTTTCCCTGGCCCTCGCCTGCAGCACCCTGTGCCTGTGCCACCGGGCCTGGTTCCCGGGCCCCTGCTCTAGAGCCTTGGGTTCTACTCCCTGCTCTTCCACCGACTCATCTGAGCCCTTGGGCACGGAACCCTTGTGTGCCTCAGTTTCCCCCAAGGGGGGATAATAGTGCTGTCCCTAGCTCATATGGTGGGGGGTTAGAAGCATCATTAATTAAACATCTGTACCAAAAACTGCAGAGGGAGACAACAGGAGCAACCACAAACACGTGACAGGAGGCCTGGCACAGAAAGGCTGGGTCCGTGCTATCACTGGGACAGCAGGGGGCGCTGTTCCACCCTCTCTTACAAGTCCTTCTCTCAGCAAGCGATGCCGGGTCTCTGGCGAGAGGCTGCATTGGCGCCAGTCTTGGGATGCCCGATCTCTGGCGGGGCAGCTCTTCCAGACAGAAGAGGGTTTGCGCTCTGCTTGGACCTCTCCACCCAAAGGCAGTTCTCGGGCCAAGGCCCTGGGTGTGTGGGCTGAGCATGCTGTTTAGGGCCACCTCTGTTCCAGGACTGAGTTACAGCCTGGGTAAATAAGCAACAGGCACTAAGTAGCCAGACCCCACAGCAGTGATCTCTCCTCCGTTAGGAAGCCGACCCGCATGGCACCCAAAGCTGCTGCCACTTGGCAGAGGGATAACTCGAGGGGCTAATAAATAACTAAAAGATGCATGAGAGACCTGCCCTGTGCTTTAGACCCTGGCTTTGATTCCACACCCCCGAGGCTCTACCACCACACACCCCGAGGCAAGGTGTGATGGGGGGGGCAGCTCCCCAGCCCCAGAAGGGGTGGGGCCTCCGACAAAAGGAGTGGGGCCAGTGACAGCCAGCCCTGAGTGCCCCACCTCTGGCCGCTGCCGTGGCTACTATGGCAACGGTAGTATAGGGCCCCAAGCTCCTTTCCCAGAGCAACTGCCCTCTCTTGCCCCCTTCCCATCAGTGGGCCCGGCTCTTTCCCCTGAGGCCCTGCCCTCCCCCTCTTCCCGTCCTCTCCCGAGCCCCCGGCCTCGTGGTGCCTCTTCCAGCCCCACTTCACCCCCACCCCCATGGCCCCACTTCCCCACTGCTCCCCACCCAC